AGGGTATTTACCGTAGTTTTCGGAGTATAAGATGCACTTCCCCTTGCTAAAAGAGGGTGGAAATGTTGGTGTGTCTTACAGCCATTTTTGGCCTCCAGAAACCCCGCCCCGCGTGCCCTTTTCGCCAAAAACAGGCTTGTTTTTTGCAGAAAGAGGGTGCACAGACCGTTTGGGAGGCCTGCAGAGTGCTCCTGGCGGCTGGGGAGGGCAAAAAGACGATGCACAGGGGGTTTGGGAGGCAGAAAATGAGTCCTTTTTTTTTCCACAAAAATGGCATTTTTGCCCTCCCCAGCCGCCAGGAGCACTCTGCAGGCTCTCAAAACCTCTGCACGCCCCATGTTTGTGTAAAACGGGCCCATTTTTGGCTTCCCAAACCCCCCAGAAGTGCCATTTTTTCCTCTCCCTAGCCCCTAGAACTACTCTGCAGGCCTTCCAAATTCCAAATTCTCTGCGTTCCCAGTTTTTGTGAAAAACGAGCAAAAAACAGCCATTTTTGGCCTTCCAAACCCTCCATGTGTCGCAGTTTTGCCTTCCCCAGCCCTCAGGAGCACTCTGCAGGCCTCCCAAACACTTTGTGTGGGCTGGGGAGGGCAATTTTTTGTTTGTTTGCCTCTTTTGAAATCTTGGTGCATCTTATTGTCTGAAAAATATGGTATATTAAAAAAAAAAAACAGATACAAAATTGGTTACTGGATATACCCATGATTTTTCTTTTTAGGAATATACCAATTGACAGGATACTTTTGAAGGAGTATACTTATTAACTGATCACTTTTATATCCATCACAGCATTTCTCTTTGGAATATGCTATGTTATGAAGAATAAAAAGAAAAAAGCTTAAGTTAAAGAATTAAAGGAGTGAAATAATAATAATATAGTTAAAAAGAAATTTATGTTAAAAAAAATCACCACACTTTTTCTGTATCTTTTGATCCTTGTAAAGGCTTCCACTAAAGCCTTTAGTGGGGGTGGGTTCCTGTACCAGTTGGTACTAGTTTGCTTCACTTGCGCACGCTGCACATTGCTCATACATGTGCAGTTGACTGTAAATTGTTTTGTGCATGCGCAGAAACATGCCAGCAATGGCAGAAGAGACCGGGGAACCGGTCCAGGGGTGTGGCCAGCCTGGGTCACTGCCGGTTCTGCGGCCCAGGCCAAATCAGTACTACTGGTTCGCCTGAACCAAACCGGGAACAACCCACCTCTGCACCGCACCCATACACTTCATACATAGCATTTTGTCTTTAAAGTTTTGTTTACAAAATACCTTATTAACTTTACCCATTCACAAATGTCTTGGCCTTCCCCTTCTTGACCCATTCACTTCTGCTTCATGCAAATCTTTAATCTGAATCCATTTTCCTTAAATGAGCAAATGGACTCACTGTATTTTTGCATACCACTATTCTGGAAGTTGTACTAACTTCTAGTGCAATTCAAGGTGCTGATTGTTACTTTTAAATTTCTATGTGGCTCAGGGGCTAATTATTGAGTTGGGTCTGCTTGTCTAGTAATATCTAGAGAGAGGGTTTGCTCAGGTCTTATTATCAAAGGAATACCATATCTTTGGATATTCCAGGCTTAGTTCTTTTAGTTATGCACCTCTCAGCAACAGAACAGCTTAACCCTGGATAGTTCAATCATTTGCATTTTATTGCCTTTTTGGACAATGTAGAGACAAATGCTACCCACAAATTGTAGGGAATTGGACTGATTGGGTATTACTGTACTGATTCTTTTTTGGGGGGTGGGTAGAGGTTAATTTTATTCTATATATATTGTAAACTGGTCAGTCTCTGGAAATAAAGTGACAAATAAGTTGTCATAACAAATAAGATCGGTACATTTTCAAAGACATCTTCTATTTCCCTTAGTTTCATACATATACATTGGTCTTTTTTGTTATCATTAATTCTTACTCTTTATTATCTATTATTCCTATATTCCAAGTCAGTCTTTCACTCACCATAATCATCATCAGATGGGACCATAGAAACTGATCTTTACTGTCTAACAGTAGCTAATGTTTTAGAATTTTGTGATGGTTATATGTATGTATGTATGTATGTGTGTGTGTGTGTGTGTGTGTATGTATGTATGTATGTATGTATGTATGTATGTATGTATATATACACACACACACACACACACACATACATATATGTTCTGCCCCCCCCCTTGACGGCTCGTTAACAAACGCAGGCAGACAGACTTAAAAGGACTTTCCTTTATTAGTTTTCAGTTCAAACTCGCTTCGAGCCCAGAAATAACATAAACATAAATCTCTGATAATTATTCAAAACAAAAGCTCTTACAAACGCTGCAGTTCTTCCACCGTCTCCACAGATCAGTTTTACATGAAACACCAAAGCACTTGTCCAAGTGTAACAGGCATAAATCATGATTAGTAATCAAACAATGTTTTACCAAACACAGAACACAC